ATGTAAAATCTTCAAAAACTCCTAGCAAGGCTAATCTGTAGTGTGTTAACAGCCTTCGGTGCTACGTAGGCCAGGAAAAGTTATTCTTAATTGAAAGGCGGCACAGCGTGTGAAAATCAATCAGCGTAATGCACCACATTAAGGAAGGGAAGGAAAAAACACGTGACCATATCAGCTGATGCAAAAGAGGCACCCCGTAAAATTCAGCACCCTTTCTTGATTTAGAAAGCAACCTCTTCACCATGACCCACACTACCTACTAAAAAATACACACGCAGCTAATAGTAATCTCCACGATGAAAGATTGAAAAGTTTTTCCTCTATGATCAAGAACAAAGCAAGAATGCTTGCTTTCAGCACTTCTATTCAACATAGTATTGAAAGTCCTACATCAGAGAAATTCGGCAAGAAAATGAAATAAAAGGAATCTAAATTAGAAAGGAAAAAGTAACGTTTCCTCTGTTTGCAATGACATGGTCTTAGACATAGAACACAATAAAGTATACACACCTACACACATGCATGTAGAAACTCTTAGAGCTAACCAACAACTTCAGCAAAGTTTCAGGATACAAGATCAACCCCCAGAAATGCTACACATTAACAATGAACAACCTGAAGAAGAAATTGCAGAACAACTCCATTTGATATAGCACCAAGAGAAACAAAATACTTTGACTAGAGACATGGAAAAACTACAAAACACTACTGAAAGAAATGAAAGACAAAGAAATGGAGAGCCGTCCCATTGATTGTGCAGTGGAAGACTCAACACTGCTAAGATGATAATACTTCTTGCTATTATGTGGATCTGGAGGGCACCCCACCGAAGCTCCCCTGAGGCAGGGGCCCAGTGGGAGGTTCTTAGGTCACTCGGGTCACAGCCTCAAAGGGGATTCTGGTTTCTTCTTCCTTCCTCTCCTCCACCTCCAAGCCATTAGGTGAATGATTTTCCCACCACGTACTCCCTGCCTCAACGTGACAGGAGGAAAAAAAAAATAGGAGACGATCCTTTCACAAATAAAGGGTGGAAGAATGGTCTGAATGAAGAAATTGGATCAACTTAATTCTGCAGTTTTTAGTAGAGTTTTGTGGGCCCGAATTGATCTGGAACCGAAAAACTGAGAATTTTAGAAATTCTACTAAGAGATATGAGAGTTATCCTGAAGGCCACAGGACAGCCTAGAAATGTCTGAAAGCTGTGTAAGGGGCTGCAGATGGGAGAGGCCGAGATAGCGGTCCTTTAAAGCATCCCGTGTTGTCATGGGCACGACATGGCCAGAGATGCCCTGAACCAAACCTGCAGAGCTCATCCCACAGCACCACAGTCCTTGGAAGCCCAGCGACCCCTCCATCCGTGGAGTCACTCTTTCCTCTCCTGCACCCAAGGACCTGCCAAAAAGGAGGCTCCAGCACAGACACACAGGTCCCATCTTCCAGGGGTGACTATGACAAGAACCCAGCTTCCTGCCCTGGTGGCCAAGGACTCCGTGCTGTTGGTGGCTCCCCTGTGCTCTGCGGCAGAGGTTGTTTGGTTCTGTGCTACTCTGTAGGGTTTTTAATTTTTGAGAGTTGTTTTTTCTCCCCATTGGCAAAGGACTTCTCATACACAACCAGATCTTCACACAGGAATTTCTCTTCCTCTATCTTTTGATAAATACTCACCTTGTAGATAATTACTAGCTCCGGGGTTTGGGGGAAATTACTCCACCTCCCTGGTGGAGACACTCCTCGGACAAGATGGTGATCATGCTAAGCCTTTCCGATGCCAACCGTGGAGCCTGTGCAAGTTCTTTATCCAGGTGCGCAAAATACCACATGTGCTTGCGCTTGGTGTGTGGTACCCACAGCACAGGTGTGGAGGTCAGCTTGGGTGGGAACCCTGCATCTCCTCCTACTTAGCAGCTTGGGAAATGAGTTTACTTGTCTGTAAAAAGTTCCACCTTGC